CGGGTGGCACGACCGGAGCCACCGGGCGGAAAGGGGCCGGAGCCGGGATGCGGTTGACCGGAAACGGAGTCCGAATCAAACCGCCAGGCGTCTTGGGGGGCGGCTGACTTGATCAGCTTGGCCCGGACCAGGGCCTCGTATTGACGGAAGGCCCGGGTGCGCCAGCTAAGGTAGTCCCGGAGGTCCGGGGGTCGTTCGAGGACGTGATTCCGTTATTGATCAGGGGGTCAAGTCCGTGGCGGAACTTGGTCACCTTGACCAGCGCGTCTTCGAATCCGGCGAGGTCCATCAGGTCCTCGAAGTCGTCGGTGTACTGGTAGACATCCTTTGTACCCATGTGATAGGCGGAAGTCTCCAGCTTGGAGAGAGCGTGATCTTGCTCATTCTCCTCGACGAACCGGAGTCGAAACTCGGAAACGAACGAGCCCCAGGACGGAAACGGAAACGGGGCTTTGCTTCCGTGGCGCTCCGCCCATTGCTGAGCGGGTCCTTCTGCCATAAACGACATGGCATAGCGGACAGCCTTTTCCTCGCTCGCCTCTCCGTTGACCACGAAGGCCTCAGGGGCAAGGCGGGCGAGGTGCGGACCGCGTAGAGAGGAACGCGGCCGGCGTTTCCGGTCGCCGTTGAAGGTGAACGGGGGGTTTGGTCGCAAGACCAATTTTGAGGCGAGGTTGATGTCGCCAAAAAGGGCTTCGGAGTCGCCCTGGACCGGAGTCGGAGTCGGAATCGACGTCTCCGGCGATGGTGTTTGGGGTCCGCCAGCATTATTAGCGGCGGCAGCGGCAGCGGAAGCCTGGTTGGTGAGTAAAGCAAGGGCCTCAGTTAGGCTATCGATTTTCGCCTCGAGTGAGTCCAGCCGGGCGTCTGCGGTAGGAGTGACTCCGGACGGCATGACGGGTGCGGGGACCACAGGAGTAGAGGAGGAGGGGACAAGTGGCAGGGGCGGTGACGAGGGCGGAACGGACTCGTACTCGAGCCTGAGTCAGCGCCGAACCTGGCAATCTTGTCCGGTTGATCCCGTAGAGAGTTTCTTCTGCTGTAAGGGCAACCCCGGAGGCCTGAGATCAAGGTCCTAGCAGGGGAGGATCCAAAGCGTGAACATTGGTAAGCGAATACAAATGAAGCTGACCTAGCAGGGGAGGATCCAAAGAGAAGAAACTCTAAGGGTCCGCCTGCTAGGTAGCTGACTATATACTGCTTGTCCGTAGCTGCCGCTGTCGGGCACAGAAGGCTTGGGCGGCGTCGCAGGCGAGGTCCCAGGGCGACCGTCGGGAGGGCGTTGACGGATCGGTGATTGTGCGGGCGAGATGGAGGGCCGGACCGGAGACGGAACCGGAGTCGGACCGGAATCGGAGGCGTCTCCGAGGGGCCGAAAGGGAGGTTCCCCTGACACCCTATGTGTGCGCAAAAACCCTGCTATGGTTTTCTTTTTACCCACAGGTCAGGGAAAAAAAAACCTGTACTGCACACAGCTTGGGAGAAAACCCTGATATGGTTATTATACATGCAAAAAAGCCTGCTATGGTTTTCCAGATATTAAAAGGCCCACTACCACATACAAAGGTTTGAGAAAACCCTTATGTGGGTAAAAACCCTGCTATGGTTTTTCTTTTCTGGATATTGAGGCATTTACTTGTATAGTTCTTAGACAAGTAAAAAACCTTGCTAAGGTTTTTCTAAGAAAAGCCTTATGCACAGTCTCCCACCCTACAGGCTTCCTTGGGTATTTTACACTATCTAAATTTAAGCAATTTAAACTAATACCATAGGTCCAGCCAATAGGTTATTGGTATGGCATTCTTCCTCTTCTGTATACAGGATTTCAAACCAAACTATCTCATATGGTTGGTTTTTTTTTACATTACTCTGATCAATCGTTAAAATGTGTGTTGATGGTGTGATGGCGTTCAGCACGGCTGGCACGGCGTTTGATGGCTGGATCTGTGACGTTCAGGAATGTAAGGCAGGATGTCACGCTCATTCTCATCCTGCCTTACACTCCCATCACCAGAATCCACGACATGTATTCGCCGAGAAATTCTGGGTACGGCAACCGCAGAGGGTCGAAGGAGGAAATGTGCAGAGTGCGGAGGAGGAGTACAAGGCACGGGATTCGCAGGATGGCATTAGATTGTGCAAAAACGGTGTGTGCTCAGCTCCCCTCACCTTTCATTCCTCCAACTTTTGCAGGAACGAAGGGCACTCCCCCCGCTTTCATCAAATAGACGGCACACTTAACGCGGCCTAGGACCCTCCTGACAGCTGACGCCACGCAACCCCAACGACCTGTCTGTTCTCCCTGGCGACGATTACCCTATGCCCTTCTGACGGCTCCTCAGCTAATAACGACGGCTCTTCTTACACGCAACTCCCCCGACGAAAGCTGCAACTACAATGCAATGTGTGAAAAAGAGACACTCTGGAAGAAGAGGGATAAGGCGACCAAGGTGTAGGACAAGCAAGAGTGGTTGCTCTACACCTCGCGTGTTTTGCCTGCATTCACGCCTTTCTGTTGTACCCTCTGTGGATTTCCAACAAATACGACGCTTTATTCCTGTAATCTCCGCTGCTCCTTCCTCGACCACCGGAAATCATGCGACACTCACACTCTCACGACAACACCGTCTCAAGCATGCGCGAAGTCGTTTTCACCGCCACCAGCTGACTTCACTTTCCCCATTCTGAGCTGTCGTTCTCCGAAGCCCACCACGTTATTAGCCCGCAAACGTTTTGGCGTGTGCATATCTGCTCCTTCATGCCAACTGCTTCGCCTGTTTACAACAGGGAACCGTCACGTCATGTACAAGCTACCGTTTTCGCTCACAGCCCGTGAAACGGCAACGTTGGCACTCATTGACCCGATTTCACAAAAACCACTTGCCGGAACCTACTGTTCATGATAACTCATGAGCGGCTCCTGAAATACGCTCCCATAACTCCCTCAACACACTCTGCCGGGCTTCCTCTTCACAATCGACTTGCGGGATACGATTCCACCACGATATCCACGTCTTCTGCGCGGTGTCACAGCGACACGTGATCGTCACACTGTCTTTCGAAAAAGACGATGTTGTGTCTCTTCATCCACACCAGCTGGCGGCTTATGAACCCGATCTGGCGCTTGGAGATATATCTCCCCGTCATAATCAATTGCTGCTGCCCGTGAATTGGGCCGGTAAAGCGTTCCTCGGCTCGCTTTTCGTTTGGATGTGTTAAATGGGCAGAACGAGTTCTGGGAGTCGAGGGAGAGATATACGCGGAATTTGACCTGTTCCAAGTCAACTGGGGGCATTGAATGATGAATCAAAGAAGGTTTTGGTGCGTGTTTGGAGGGGTTGGTGCGTGACGCAAATGGTTTTCGGTCTGTGGGCCTTAAACAGACACAGTACTTGGTGAGTGGTGTTATTCTTTGCTCAGAATTCATTCCGGAGCTCATATTTGCCACCAGGACTTTAGAAAAGCATTTTTATAGTCAGACTACTCACGAGTTGTGAATGCTGTCCTGCTCAGGCGCCAATTGGTGGATTGCCGCTAGCGCAAGGAGCAAGCACGAGATTTAGTCTCGATATCATCTCCTGGGCAAAAAAAACCCTTTCACAATTCTGCCTCAACACCCTCCCGACCCATACATCACTATTCTGCCCCGTCATCGAGCCTTTTCCCCATCCCCTTTTTTCGTCACATCGTGACCTGTCACGTCGTCAAAAGTCGCCACATATCTTTCGAAAGAGCGAACGGCGGTCTCTATCGGGTGTATCTCGCTCCTGAAGATAAACCCATCAAACTATTCAAAATTTCCTGTCCTCCAATTCCGTCGACAAGGGCTTCGTTAATCGCGATTTCGTTTTCACTGCTTCTACCGCCAGAATGGGCCGCGGCTGCCGCCGAAGAGATATTCGGGACTTGTGGAGTGTCTTTCGTGCGAGATATGAAGCCGATGCTGCACGAAGGTCGGTTACAAAGATGGTTTGGGGCACTGGGGGAAGGATGGATTTCGAGGGGGCATTCGATCCGACCACCAACGAACTTTTTCATGATCATTTCAGGCCTTGTGGTCTACGCAGGCCTTTCTCTCACCCTCCATCACCTAAACCCAATGAACTTCATGCACCTTCAGCTGCATCTTGGAGTCTTTCGAAGGAGAATACGCCGGGAGGTGGTAGACGCGCGTTCGAGTCAAAAATGTAAGCAGAAGTGCCCGCACCCAAATTCTGGCCATTAATAGTCAAATACCCAGAACGAAATGGCAGATTAATATTATTGGGCTCTTCGCGCGTGTTTGAGTAGACAACGCATGCGTCTAAGGACATTCACAAATCCACTTGAAATTGGTATATTCTGCCTTGCGTGCCTCTCATGTGGCTCTGATAATCTCCCTAGTAGGACATGACACCGTCGAGCCTCTTAGCAACGAAGTACAATAGTGAGTTGCCAATGACAATAAATCGGCATTCCTGCCTGATGATCCGGAATTGCTTCTTTCATCTTCCCACCATGGGCCCACAAATCTTCGACAATAGTGCTCGTTGTGACTCTTTTCTCGGAGCTGTGGCCCAGATATGCATTCACATGTCCTGATTGTATAGCTGCTGTGGTGATCTTGACTGGCCACAAACGCTGAGCGGAGTGTGCCTCTCTCAAAGAATGAGCTGGCAGCAGTTTCACACGTCAAAGGAGGAAAGCTTGTCTGCAGTATGTATTGATACCTGCCCCCGCCTCAATTGTCTCCCATAACACATCGCTGTTCTTTGTCTCTCGCCTCTTTTTGTTTTCTTCGTCTGATAATTCACAGGACACGCAACTTCTGGCGTTTCCTCTCCAGCCTCATTGTCGTCCAGACTCGTCCTCGCGACGCTCTATTCTTTGGCGCATTCTTCCTCGTCTTTTGTGCTGTTGCAACCCTAATGCGAGAGGTGCGTATTCTTACCACAACAACACAATAGGCTCAAGGGAGTAAAAAAGCCCGTCCCTCCTACGTTCCCCCTCCGGAGCCTGCCATGTCATATCTCCTCCGACTGCCCAACGAACTCCTCGAAGCCATCTTCACATGTGCGGAGTTTGACGATCTCCTATCCCTCATTTCCACCAATCGGCGCATACGGGAGTTCATCTTTGCGACAACGCGCCTCCGGTATCGATTCTACCTCGAGTGCTTTGGGGTCGAGGAGCAACTCCCTGAAGGCCAAGGGACTGCGATCATACCAACCGCGCGTCGCCTGGAGGCCTTACTGGGTCGCGAGCGGCGGTGGCTGAATGTTCAGCCTTTATGTGCGGCGCTACCGAGGCGCTACGGTCCACATCACTACGACGACCATGGGCACTTCCAAGGCGACTCATCACTGAGCGTTTCTGGCTCACGCATCTTCCGTGCATGGGGCAATGGGGCTCCCGATTGGGCTACTCATAGCAAGACTCAACCGATGGACATTATCAGTACCACGTTGTCCAGGCCACAATATCAGTGGAGAGCATATTCCCACATTCGCGCCCGCGTGCACCGCTGGGCTGCGACATATGTGTCAGAGGCAGATGACCTTTTGGTGGTCATGGACTAGTTGCGCTTCTTTCCGAACTCGGGTAGCAGTCATGTCTGACAATTTTCAGTGTCCCGCGGCATCCCCAGTACGACCTGTTCATAGCGAGGATCGCGTTTCTCCAGTTATCGACAGGCCGGTTGCATCCGGCCGCGGCGAAACCTCTCATGCGTCTTGCCCACTACGATGCCAACTTGGCGGGCCTCGAATGGGAACTTCAGGGCAACATACAACAAGCAGGCGGTCTCCTTGCGGTGATTGTCGCCAATCATCAATCCAGACCTGACGATGACGCTTACTGGACTGAGCCCCCGCCATTGCCATTCGTGCTGCGTGTTTTTGACTGGAAGAGCGGAGAACACATCATCGTGGGTGTTTATCTCCTACCTACTTGGGGAAGCTAAATCCATTTTAATTTTTTGATGACAGCGTCCCACATTGTGCTCCTCTCCAGCCATTGCCTTTTTGCGCCAGGACATCCTGCTTGTTGTTGATTCGGTTTTGGATCAGCTTGACCTTCTTCGACTCCCGGCTGTACAGGATCGGCTACCAATGCCGTCTCCCATCATATCCTATGTGCGACGTTCGCTCTCCCCTCTCTCAGGGCGGGAGTGTTCTCGTATGAGTACTACTGCCGCCCCACCGTCACATCGGTCGGCCATGGTATTCCCGCGACAGATGACCTGCGCTTTGCCCCGCAGCACCGTCACTCACTACTCTTTTTCACATCTTATCTGTCTGTTCACTCTGTCCGGCGCCGCCAAGCGTTCATTGTCCATCCGCGCAAGCTTCTGTCGCTCTTCGACGCGGCGGCAACCTCAGGGAACGGCGCTCACTTCTTCGCCCAAGATGAATGGGTGCCCACATGCGCGCGCTGGCTGAACCAGCTCCCTATTGTTGATTTCGAAACGCCACAAATGGCCAATTCGGGGTATCGACTGTCGGGCATCCGCGACCCGGCGGGGGCTCTGGGGCCCCGTCCCCTGGTGATCATCGATGCAAATCCATGGACGGTCGAGCTAGTGAAGCGGGCCGCTCAAGGAACCGCCGAGGAGGCCCGCCGTCATCCCAAAGAGGCTAGACCGATTTGGAGCCAGCTCGGAATTCTCCCGGGAACGCGGGCGGACGGCACGCTCCGCACGGAGAGCGGCGCCATACTCCGGCTCGTGCTCCCCACCACCCCGGTCACGGCACCCAGCACGCTCCACCTGTTCATCAATCCGCCCACACAATCGGACTTGGCCTATGTTGAGATAACAAGAGTGCGGAGGCGGCCCGGGCCGGACCCGACCCCGTATGATTGCCGTTTCGCGCATATCAACAGCGAGAGCGTCATTACTAACGGACCGAGGAATCCGAACGAACCGGTATGTCTAACTCTTCACCCATCGGACCAATAAGAATGTTGACTAGCATATACAGCTTGAGAACAATACGCTTGCACTGATGTATTTTGGCTGACGGAGGCAGCTGGGGAGCACAGAGAGAAGCTCAAGCGGCAGAGTAATGACAGCTACGATTACGGCGATTGCCACGACTGCTACGATAGTTACGACTCTACGAATTTACGACCGCAGTGGCCTTTTCTGCACTCAGAATATAGCCCAATGACAGCTCCTTGTTATGACCAACGCATGTTTGCCTTGCAAGATAAATGAGTAAGTAAATATAGGTTTGGGTGTCAGGCCTAATCGACAAACTTCAAAACACTGCTGGGTCGATTTTAAACGTGCAAATTGTTCTGAACCCGAAGTAATTCTAGAAGAACTTCACACTAGTACTTTATCGTGATCTTCGCATTCGTCGCGCCATCCTTAGTGATGGTCGTGGACAGCCCGTCCGCCGCATCGTCCACATGGCTCCACTGCACGCTCGGGGCCTTCCCGTTCTGGAGCGTTAGATGGATGCCCGAGAAGGCCGTAGACCCCGCCGGATAGTCGCTCTTCGCACTGAGCGTGTATGCCTCGAGCGTCGCAGTCGCCCACGCGAGCTGTTGAAGTATCGGGTAGCGAACCCGAGTCTCACCGGCCGGATCACGTCAGCCGCCGGACCGCCATCACCGACGCCGATGCGTCGGGATTGTTCTACAATATTCTATTGACTCATTAGCTAGAACCTACCAGAAAGATTAGAGTACTATAAGTACTGCTGTATCACTCTACAATAATCATTGGTTTTCCCCTTCTTCCTTCAACACGAGCTGCGTCGCGTTGTTGACGGTCAGCGTCGTGCCGTCAACATTCGTGAAACGCGATTTGTAGCTGTACTTCGCGCCGGAAACCCCAGTAAGCGTCATAGCGCCAGTGAGGGACTTGCCGGCGGAAACGCGTACCGGCGCCGTGTGGAACACGCTCTTGCCGGCGAGGTACCACGATGAGACGGACCAATACGGCCCGCCGCCGGCGGAGCTCGGGCCGTACTGCAGCACCGGCTGGAGGATCCACCCGCCGGCCCCGGGCTCGATTGCGGTGAACAGGAACACGGTCTGCCCGTGCTCAGTCTTTGGCACAGGGGGCACGGTCCAGCTCGCAGTGTAGTTCTTGATCGGAGAGGCGTTCTGGTTGAACCAGCTCGCGTATGTGATCCAGCCCGTTTTGAGTGCGCGCGACTCGAGGAGCGGGGACGGGGCTTCCAGTGTGATGTGCTTGATCGTATTGCCGTTGTCGTCGAGGATGTGGACCGCGTCGCCCACGTGCAGCAGGCTGCCGCTGTCGGGAACGAGGTGGATGTCATCCGGGGATCTCGGGCCACCGGGCGCGAGCACTGTGGTGGTCTCGCGCGGGGCAGCCAAGACAGCGAGGGGGAGTAGAACGCTGATGATGAGGGTGAACACGGAGCGCATTACTGGCAAATAATTCTGTCAGTAATCATCAAGACTAGCAAATATGAACTAACGAAGCTGGAAGGATAAGTTGAAGGAAGAGAGGATGGCTTAAGGTTTCCCCTCTCCCCGTTTTATACTGCCCCGGAAATGGGCATCGCGGAGATCAGGGACGTCGCTAAGCTCGCCAGTGCCGGCTGCTCAAGCTTGCGGTCAGTTGCAGGCCCAAAACCAGAGGGCGCGGCAGGCTGCAAGAGTTGGTTCCGGCTGCGGCGTTTCCCGCCCAAAGATGATAATAGCCCGCTGAAGCCATTTTAGCATTAAAGGAACCGCTTCGGTCGTCCCGGCCCATACTCCGCCACCAACCCGGGACGCCGCAAGTGTCAATTCCCTGTTGACCGGTCGAAGAACGAAGAAAACACCGATATGTCTCGCAGCACTGCCCTGGAGAGCCGGGAGAAGGCCACAGAGAATTTAGCATGAGGGTTTGAAGAGAACGGCGTCTGGCAGTGGTCGTTTGGGTCGACTGTCGGGAGTGTCACGTCATACCTCATTTTGACTTCCTTCATCATCCCCCGACGCCCGACCAACGCCTGTTCGTTACCTAGCTGCTTTTACCTGCAAGGGCTGCTACGAAGAGAGTCATAGGCAAAGGGAGAAGATATATGGAAAGCTGTAACCGTGGCAGCGCAAGTGGGTGTCAATGGGAGGACTCAGGAGTACTCGCATGGCAGAGTGAGGAGGAAGGGGAACCGGTGCGCAACTTCCTTTCCCTCTTCTATGCAGATGGGCTGACGAGAAACATAGGATACAATGCAGAAACTGAAGACAAACGACTTTGTTGCCCATCTTAGAGTACCGACATCGCACCCGCCAACAAGAATACCGCACCATCCACGATCTTTCCAGCCTCCCATATCGCGACTCTCCCCCTACCCATCGCTTTCCCTTCCATGTCTGGCCGCTTTTCCTGCACGCACATCTACCACAGCTATGGCTGCACGATCGACTATTCTGGCTTCGGTATGCCTTCCACACTGACACGCACGCAAATCTTGGAGAGAGAGTCATGCTGGACGGCCGAGGGAACCTCTTGAAGAGATAGAAGCTTAGAAAACCGATAGAAGGCTACATTGTGGGACAAGCATGGAGGGTTGTGAGTGGCTTCGCTCGTTTTTGCGCATGCTGACACCCTTTCATAGACCATTTTACTCTGTCGGCATTTACTTGCTATGTATACTGCTATATACCCCTGCAATGCCACCGTCTTCAAAGCTGTCGCTACCCTGCCCGTTATGTTATCGCCCTCTGCCATGCCGTCTCAATGGAATACCCATGTGTTTGGTGCATATGTGTCCAAGACGAAGATCACCACGATACATGCCACGAAGATACTCACCAACTCCTCAATATGGTTCAGCTCCAGCCGCTGCTGAGGCTGAGATCGCCCTGCTACTTCTCGCAGTAGAATCCTGCTCGCAAAAGTGCAGAAGGACACCAACCCGAAAGGCTCCCGCTGCCCGGTTGCGGAATCCCTAGTCCATGATACCTCACTCTCAGCCCCTGGAAAATAACCCTACGACACCCGCGTTTCACTTACAGGGCTTTGCTCACGCAAACTCGACCGCGGTATACGATTCTATAGACTTCCTTCCTGGTGTCACACGCGCACGTGATGGTCACAAGCTTCCTCGTCAAAGACGACATTGTATCTTTCCATCCACACCGCCTGGCGCTCTACCAACCCTATCTCGTGCTTATGGATATATTCTCCCCACCTAATCAATTGCTGCTGCCCGCGTATTGGGCCCGGAATGCCCTCGTTGACCGGCATTTCGTTTGGAGGACAATGGAGGTGCTTGTCGGCCAGAAGCGATGCTGGCGCACGATGGAGAGGTTGCAGAGAGTTACCAAGCGTTTGAGGGGATTGAAATACGGCTAAGGCTGCACACTGAAGACATTTTCAGGGGGGATGCATGCTGGATATCGAGGAATGTGCGTTCACGGAAGGGTTTCAGGCGGATTCGCGGGGTCGGTTCCTTCATTCTTCTTGCGCGGAGTCATCATGGTGCTCATACTATCTTTCAGCATTCTACACCTCATCTTGCCACGCACTCCCCGCGGAAAACTTTGCTTGACTGGACGTCAAGACGAGATTTGTGTCCAGCTTGTTAATTTCGGGCTCTACCTGGCACTGTCGATTTGTGTCTAGTAATTGAAATGGATTCAATGCAGCGTACATTGTGCCGAAGGCAATTTCTGGAATTCGGGGGATCTGCTCTAACGGTAGACGCGGGGAGTGTAGGGCATGAATTCAGGTTGCGAAGTTAAAGGTATCCAGTGGAGTATTCTCGCTATATTATCCTATTCCTGATACTCCTTCCAGGAGGACATTGCATCGGTGATCGCAGCCAACGCTACGGGAATGTAATGCTATAGACGTTGGATGACAATAAATCGGCACTCGGAACCGCAGATCCGAAATTACTTCTGTCATCTTCCCACTATGGCCCCACAAAGCTACGACAATCACACTTGGGCGTACCGCCGCCATCGCTCTAGCTCTTCGAAGCATCCATACCACCGGCTCTTAGTATACCTCTTTGCGAATGTTGAGTCGGCATGATCACTGGGAGCTGGGCGGGGTGTCGTCTTCTCATGAGGTTCATATGTGGCTGTTCTCACGTCAAACGGCGCAAGTCTATCGGTGCGTCCTGCTCAATTGTCTTTCACCACACACTGGTGTTCTTTGCCGCTCATAGTATCTTCCCTCTTTTTGTCTTGTTAATCTGATGACTCCCAGACACCTCCTTCCCCTGCAACTCGTTATTTTGGACATATCAACACAGACGTAAGTATAGTCGATTAGAAGCAAAGACAATAGGCTGAAGACACTCAAAAGCCTGGCCCTCCTTCGTCTCCTCCGCGGGGTCTACTATGCCAGTATCATATCTTCTCCAGCTACCAAACGAGCTTCTCGAGGCGACCCTGACGCACCTGGATCTCGCCGATCTCTTGTTCCTCCTCGTCACCTGTCGGACGCTGCGGGAGTTCATCTTTTCGACACCACGACTCCAGTATCAATTCTATCTCGAGTGTTTCGGGGTCGGGGAGCCGCCCGCTGGCACTGGTCACGGTCCCGCTGCCGTTCCCGTCTCTCAGCGCCTGGAACGCTTGCTGGAACGTGAACGACGGTGGCTCAACTTGCAACCCCTATCCCGCCGGGAAGGGGCAGAGCTGAAACAGTCGTACAAAATTCGTCGAGATGGACCGATCCACGAAACATCTATGCACATCACGGCCGCTCACATGTTTCGAGTCTGGACCAACAAGTTCGAGGATTGGGCAATAGGCGATGAGGCTAGACCAATGGAGTTCATCAGCACTACATTGGTCTCCCATGACGTTGCTCCCGGAGAGCAGCCTACCGTTGACACGACTCTAATTGGTGATGGGTCTGCCGTTGGGGAGGCACCACTTGAATGGGAGGAATATCCCGACACGCACGTCCTCGTGAACCGTTGGGCTGCGACACACGTATCGGAGAAAGATGACTTGTTGGTTCTCTTGCACTAGTTGCGCTCGTTTTCCTTGCGGATTCCGCTGTCTGACGTCCTTCAGTACCATGTGTCCGCCTGAACACGATGTATTTCAAGCTTCGATTGAGCTTATCCAGTTTTCCACAGGACTTCCGCATCCTGAGGCAGCAGTGCCTTCCTTTCCTTTCCAGGAGTACGAAAGCTATTTGGGAAACACAATGGCTGCTGAAATTCGCGGGGAAATTCAACAAGCAGGCAGCGCTCTTGCTGTAATTGTCGCCGATAACAAGGATGAAGACTCATTGCCTCTTAAGCTGTTCGTCTTGAACTGGAAAAGCGCACAACATCTGATGGTAAGTTATGCTATTGGTACTGATATTTTCGTATTCTGAAGATCTTGCATTACAGCAGCCCGTATTATGTTCGTCTCTTGGCATGGCATTCCTTCGTGAGGATCTCCTGCTTCTGGCAAATGCGTGGAAGGGACGCCTGGACATTTTTAAACTCCCTCAGCAGCAGTCTCAGGGACAGCTACCTCCCACCATCGGAATTTTTGCAACCTTTTCTCTTCCTGTTCTTCACGAGCCAGCATTTATGTTCGATTTCTGCTGCCGCCCCACTCGTGCCCTTACGCCCACTGGTTTCAAAGATGGCAATGCTTTCTTCGAACAGTCCGGCTTCCAACCTAATCACCGTCATTCGCTACTGTTTTTCTCTTCTTGTCTGTCTACCCGATATCGTCCAGCCTACCCGGATACTTACGGATCCGACACATCGGATTCTGATGAGTCCGAGGCTGATTCTGAATGGGATGACTCCGTCCAGCGAGATAATCCAGGTCTCCGACAGGCCTTCATTGTCCATCCTCGCAGGCTTCTGGCGCTCGTCGACGGGGCTGCTGCCCACTCCTCGACACATCAAACACGTCAATTCTCCCCGCAGGAGTGGATACCCACGTCTGCCCGCTGGCTGAATCACTCCCCCCTCGTAGCTCCCGACGAATCACCCTGCATTGTTGATTCGGGGTATCGCATCGCCGGTGTCCGCGACCCGGATTCTAGCGCGCGTTCCTTGGTAGTCATTGACGCCAATCCATGGACCGTCGAGCTCGTAACGCGGGCTGCGCGGGGAACCTCTGCGGAGGCCGCCCAACAGAATAAACCTATCTGGAGCAAGCTTGGGATCCTTCCTGGCACCCAAGCAGATGGTACCCTCCGCACCGAAAGCGGTGCCGTACTCCGCCTTGTGCTCCCCACCACCCCAGTTGATGGCCCCGCTGTATTTAACGCCTTCGTTAGCCCACCCACCCGATCGACAATTGCGTATGTGGAGATATCCCTCCCGCAGGCGTATGATTGCAAGTTTGCACACATCAACAGCGAGAGTATAGTCACTAATGGGAGTTCGGTAAGCCTCTCTCGTGTCCAAATCCAGGTTTCCCTGCCAGTGCTAGTCTAACATTACGTGTTTATAGGACAATTC